CCTGCCCCCGCTGGACAGTGTTCACATTATATTATTATATTATTAAGCGACCTACAGTGCATTCAGGCTATACATTTTTTACCAGTATGTGTGTTCCCTGGGAATATGAATATTATATTAATTATATTTAGCAGCTAAGCCATGGAGTTTTCTTTTCTAATGTGAATATGTAATGGTATTAAGCCATACTGTTATACATTCACAAAACAAAAAATAAGAGTACATTTTTTATGATTTATAAATATTAATAGTAATTCAATAAACAATTGTTTAGCTCAGCACTGATCCCTGAAGTGTCAGGCAGGCATCCTGTGAACTCTTTTGATTCGACTATATCTTTGCTGCTTTTGTCAAGGTACTTATGGATTGGTCTTCTTTGTAATTAATCATCACAGTAGATTTAAAGCCCACCGCTGTCAGTCGATAATGCTGAAGCATAATTAAAATTAAATCCCTATTATGTGATGCTTCTGTATATTTGCTAAGCTCCTTCTGGAAAAACTGTTTGGTCCATGAGTGGTTACTAGCTACTGTTGCAAATGACAAACAAGTTCGATGAAGTTCAGTGTATTGTTTTGGAGTACATAGCTGTTAATTAAAAATGGTGTATGCACATTTTGTCCTAAATAGATGTGCCTGCATGTGCTTTCACGGCTTTTGCACCTTTCTCAAAGAGTCAAGGCTGCAAACCCCTGATGGAAGCATCTGTGTATAGTACCCAGCAAGGCAGTGGTTCAGCTATTCACAGCCTCACTGTGTGGCAGTTTTCTGGCCTGTTCTGATGAATGTTTTCAATTATCTACTAAAGAGCAATTTGGATGTTTGAGGAAAAAGCAATACAAGAGCACTAACTGTTTGGGTGCTGCAATTAGGTGGTCTTGTGAACCTTAAGAGTAGCACAATATATTTCTAAGTTGTGCGGCAAAGTGCAAAGGAATGCCATGCAAAACTACTTCAAAAGTTTTACTGAAGGAATGTTTTGGGGTCTGGACAATGCACTGGGGTATGCATTTGTGAAAATATCAATTACTGCAGAAAATAATCCAGGCTTCTTTTTGTCCATGCAGAATATAATACAGCTGGGTGATAAAACAATAGCTATAATAATCGTGATTGAATTTTCCTTGATGAAATGATAACAAGAGTTTGATAAATTTTGGATACAACGTTTATTAGGTAAAAGCGGAACGAAACAGTGATAGTCATTTGAACTGTGACACGTGGACCGTTTATCCTCTCGGCTCAAAGTTCAAACAGCAGCACAGCGGTTGCGAGCTCACTAGAGCGGGTGCATTTACTTGCCGATGAGTCTCGGTCATGCAAGGCAGTGAGATCCAGTGTGAAGCGCTTTATTTGACATTACTTGAGATCTAGACTAGTTTAAAGCCATATAAAACAGCGCTGACAAACAGGAGAAACACTGTGCACAACTATACCGTCAGAAGTCTTTTCAATTTACAAATCGTTATCATTTACCATGGATTTACTGTAAAAACACTAACTGCACCATGGTAGTGTGGCAGAAATGTGGGATATTCATATGAACTTTTATTATATTATTAATGTAGACATGTATTAAATGTGTTAAAGGACTAATGTTATATAATTACAGTATATTTGTTATTAAGCTATATTATTTGTGCATTTATACTAAATGTATTTAGACTACTATTTTTCATTCAAATACCTAGAAACCATATAGTTATATTTTTAATATGGTATTGAGATGCTATATGTGTTGTTTTAACTGTGGTTATCATGATCTAAATGCATGCTACTATGGAAGACCAATGGTTAATTGTAATAAAACTTGAACAGCCCGAATGATTACAATTCACTATATAAAAATGAGGTTGTTAACATTTTTTACATATGTTACTGTTTTTGATCATGAGCAAAAATGTACATCTGCATCCTAACTCAAGTTATTCCTACTGTCAACTCAAGCGAATGTCTAATATGCATTTCTACGAGTGCATTTCTATGATACATTTTTGTCCATATCGTCCAGCCCTAAGTGTAAATAAATGAACTAGGGTGTTCAAACTTTTTGATGTTAAGGAACCCCAAATATGATCATCATCTGTTATCTATTATTATCATCTATTATCATCATTAGAATAAATTTTTTTATTTTCTGAAATTGTCGACCCCAAAGAACTGTCTTGTACCCCTTCAGGCGTACTAGGACCCCAGTTTGAAAACCCATGCTTTTAAACAGCTGTACAGCTCAGATAACAGACTTTCCTTTTACAGAAAATAATTTCAATTATTATTGTTTTTTTTAATAAATGTAAGTGCTTTAACAAAAATGTAAACTTAATTTTTCATCCTTTAAACTTTCCAGACACCGTAATCCATTGTAAAAGCCTTACTCTAAATGCTCTATACTTAACAAAAACAAATAGCCGAAGCTAAATGATTTTCTGTGGTAATTGACATTACACAACTAATGCTGCCAACTGAGCTTCACTTCAGTTGAACCCAGAACATTTGTGTAATACCAAAGAGCAGAATGGTACAGTACAGAATAAATACAGAAATAAACTGACAGCTCCAATTCTTATCATTCATTTACTTTTATCTGACAGTTTTTTGTGTGTGTGTGTGTGTGCGCTTTTTTGCCTATATGCAGATGCAAATACATTTCACTTTTATTTTATCCCAGTTTCTCATCCAGTGTCTGTCTGGTGGAGATACCTGTTAGCCTCGAGCCTAAATCCTCTCTTCTGTCCATCATTCTCTCACCTTCATTCTCACTTTCTGCTTTTCCATTGTCTCTCTTTCTCTCACGCTCTGACAGCGGCTAACAATGAGCAACCCCTGGTTAAACCCCAGCCTCCCTGATGAGGTGCACACTTGTTTGCTTATCCTTTGCTAAGCGGCTTGAGTTTTACGACACAACATGAATAGAACGATGGTTGCTGCATTGTCGATGAGGGAGTGAGCAGAGAGTGTTTGGCCGCTGAGTTTTGGCATGTTCCTCGCATTGTGTTAGCCGGGGTATTGGGAGCTTACGCCAACAGAATGCATTATGCCTGAGTCATTAATCCTTGCTATGCAGGGGCGCAAGACAGGCCTCAACAACACTAATGCCTCATCTCACTTGCCACCGCAGCATTTATTGAGAGCGAAACATCAATTATTGTGCATTATTAATATATTTCAAAGGCCTGAATGCCAATGGTACTGTGCTCCTAGTAAACCAGCGAAAGCTAGCGTTTACTCTTCTCTGCTGAGAGTTTGAGCATGTATGTTTGGACATACTTGGGTATGTCTGAAAAGTGTTGGTGTGTTGGAAACTGGGATGTTGTCCTTTTCTGACAAACAAATCAGCAAAGATCACATTTCGTGCTGAACTATTTGCTAATTTAATAGCTAGCTTAAGTGTCGCAGTGCAATACAGGTAAACAGTAGGGCTGCACGATATATCGGAATTATCGAAATATCGCAAATGTAAATATCGCGATATGCATATCTCAACGGCGTGCGATATCAGAATCATTTTAATAATAGGCTACTTAAATCAAAACGTTGCAAAAGGTCAAAGTTTTAGTTTGACGCATATAGCAGAGAATTGCTTGATGTTAAAAAGAGTTAAGTGCAATAAGTTGCAGAAAACAACTCTTTGACGTCTCGTCTTGCCGTCTGACTCACACCTGAAGCGCGCGCACAAGCCGCATCTCGCACAGCGTCTCTTCAGTTCTGCCGCACAAAGCGCGTGCATACACACAGAGACACGTTTCAGACGGCGCGCGAACACCGAGTTGATTCGTCTTTCGCATCGCGTGAACATACAAACAAAAAAAAATTTTTTTTTTTCACGGTGAAAGTTGATGTATTCCCTCAGCGACCAGCACGGATCAGCTCCAGGCATGACGAAGCGGATATCATCCTCTTTTGGAAGACCAAACAAAGTAGTTTCGCTTTCACAACGAAGCACACAGCGTCTTCACGACATGGCTGCAGTGTCAACAATACTACAGTGAGAATAAAAGTTACGCCTTCTTTCTTTGCGTGAACATTTGGGCGGCGTTATGCAAATCTTCCCACATAGTGAGGTAGATATGTGGGGGCGTGTTAGAACGAGCCGTTTTAGGTAGGTGTGGCTGACTCTGAACTTTTATAAAGAATATCTCTTTAGATTTGAGACTTTAGTCTTTGCAACTTTACAGATCTTCTTTATGCACCAAGAGCTTGTAACACTCCAAAGAGAAAGGAAAAATTGAAATCGCATCATATGACCCCTTTAAGAGTGTGTCGACCACATAGCGCTGATATACAGAGATGTCGCACTCTGGCCATTTTGAAATCTGAAAGAAATCCTCCTGAAACCCTTGAGAAACAGTGAGACTAAACTCAAACTAATTGGCCTTTAAGTCTCCCGCTCTGACTTGCGCGTTGATATGGCTATGGTACATCGGCCTTCAAACCGTGCAACGTACCTTTCACACGGTGAAAACAAATGAGCCGTGTCCAATCTGACTGCATTTGTTTGTAGCCTATCTTCGTGGTTTCTGGGGCTAATTTTGAGTTGATGTGCTCACAAAGACACAGGGGACAAGAAAAACATGACATTTTTATGCGAGAGTAAGATGGCCGTGATAGGTAATTACTGAATTGCTTTAATAGAGAACGGTTGCTGGCAGGCAAGTATTGTGCTTGGCAATTGTAAACACCTGTCAAAGTGGCTGTGAGGGAAGACCTAGGTGGCCCACGCCTCCAGAATTTAGACTTCATTAATTGAAACCTGGAGGTTGCTGCTTCACATGCTGAGACGGACACCTGCTGCAGGAATGAGACTTTTGAAGGCTCATTAGTCTGCTATACTGAAAATATCTTCAGAGAGTGCTCACCAGGAGCCTCAAACATCTTAACTACTACCATACTTCAGTTTGTATAATTAGATACACATATGAGATGTGATGTCACTCTGCATGATCTGCTAGGGTAGGAGAATGAATAATAAACTAACCCAAATATAACCTAATCTCTTGCAGGAGACGAAAATACACCGGGTTGGTTCTCTGCAGAGGATGATGGGAAGACAAAAGCTCCGTTTTGGTGTCCACTGCTGGCCTGTCGCATGCCTGCCTTCACCTCCAGCCAAAGCCAGGAATGTAAGGTGAGAGACTTCCAGTTTGAGGTCCAAAGGCTAATCAGAAACTTTCCTTGAGCAGAAAGAAGTTTATAGTTGATTTCCCGAAGACAAAGTGCTTTTAGAAACTGTTGTATACCATGCAATCATTTTTTTAGCTAGGAAATTAAAGTCCCGCAGAAGCAACCTCCACAGACAGAGTCTGACCAAAGGATGATCTTACAGGAACATTGCCAGGATTGTGGAATTACAAGGTGACATGGAAGCTTTCCAGTCACACTAGTAGGAGAGCGAGGTTGTGGATCAATAGGAGCTGTTAAGAGCAGCAAGCTCCTCATATATCAAATGGTGAACTCGGGTAAGAGACAGACTAAAATGGCTTCAGAGTCAGTCAAAAAGGAATGAAATCAATTTTACTGTCTGGAAGATGATATTTCGGGCTAGATTTTAAGACCTAACAAAGTTAGATGACGTACCCCTGAATGGTGAATCTAGGTGCCATGTGAGGGTGTTATAAAGTGATCATGCAATTACGTTAATGACTGTGGGACACCCGAGAATAAATCAATCAGGCTGCATTAAATTAAGCTCATTGCAACCCAATAGATGGGAAGTCATGGCTGTTGGTGAAATGGCTTGATCATGCGTTTTCTGCAACAGCTTGGAGCTCTGAAAAACAGATCGACGGTATACTTTTTCCACATCATTGCTTTCCACAGCTGCTCAGGAGTTTTAACTCTATAGGGTGCCATTGCTTTGTGAAAACCTGCTGCAGTGTTTCAGTCACCTTTAACAAGAATTGTTATCTGGGTTGGGGTAAATTTCTTTGTGCTCTAAAATGCTGCAAAATTCCTGGAAAACCTAGAAATAACTTTTTGTGTTTTAAGTGTGCTTTCCAGGTATGGAAAAGTCATCCATCCATCTATCGATCTATCAAAACATTTCTGATACTTTTTTAAAACTGAGATTTTAAAAGTGAGCATGGAAGTCATGGGAATTTCTATAGTCAATAATATTTGATCTCTATAAAATTACTTTTTTTAAAACTTCTTATCCAATTTTTTTTTTTTTTTTTTTTTGGGGGGAAAAGTGTGTGAAAAATTTTATTTTATGGTCAGTCGCAATTGGAACGGAAATAAAGTCAAAGAAATTCATCCAAAAGTATCAGAACCCTGTTTGAAATATTTGAGCACAATCCTGCCAGCAAATGAACAAGATCAGAATGCCATCTAAAGGTAGTGTGTATTTGGTCTGGTTATGGATGGGTGGCTTGTGCATCTGTCTTGTTGATAAAAAAAGGTGAGATGGGTTTAAAGTGAGTGACTTTAAGTCCTCCTGGCAGAGACGTCTTCTGTCTTACTGTCAGCATATACCCAGCCTTGCTCCACAACTGCCGCTACCACTGGGCAGCATGTGCTGGCCATTGCCGAGGCCTCCAAAACATCTTACTTTTAGGTTATGGCAGCTGATGTGCTTGGCAGGACATTCATTGGTGCCGAAATTGGTAGGGGGGGCACTTGAAGACCAAGATCAAAAGAGAAAAGCCGTTGGGGAACTTGCTCGTCTCCAATAATAAAATAGAAGTTCTGTAGCATCACACAATGAACAACTGATCTGCACACAAACAGTTCTGCCATTTTTGTAAAAGCCTGGTGGGTGGACTTGTTAGGCGGAGGAGATAACCGTTATCAGGTCTTTCAATTCTGACACGGATCACTTGGGGCCTCTCTGTCCCACCCCTAACCAGTCCACCAGGCAATATCTGACCCACTTCTAAGCCTTGCAAAAATCCTGTAATACTGCACAAACGGGCACTTATTGTTCCTGAAATGCAATACTAAGTCAAGGGCTGTTCTGTTCAAATGCATACACTTGTATTTATCGAGGCCTAACCTGTATTATAAGGTAAAACTTTCCTTGTTTGATCTCCATGTCAAATTATGTCAGTTTAGCCAGTCAGATTATATATCTGTCCTCATGTTTGCATCCTTCAGCTCTCCATTCTGTTTTTTCATTCGGATAGTTAAGAGATATCGAGGTCATGAAAAGGGTGGAATGGGATTGGCAAACAACACAAGCCAGATTCGAGCTTGCATTCAGGCTAGCATGTGCTCTAACTGTAAAGTTCAGTAACTTGCAAAATTGTGCATTCCTGGAGATTTGGAGTTTGGTTTTATCATGTTTTCCAACAAGGTAGCGTTCACGTGGATGATACAGAAGCCTTAATGTGCTAAAAACCCTCCACTAAAAAATCTACTTCAGCTGTAAAAGCTGTATGCTAGAAGTACCGAGAAGTATAAAGATGTCTCGTGGGAAGAGAAAGAAACTAAATCTGTTTCCCGACGAAGCATTAGGATGGAGAGAAGATGGCTCTTATTTGAGAGTATTTTTTTTAATACTGTGGAGATTCCATACCGGGTGCTTTGAAGTATGGGAAGACAAGCTGGAAAAAGGATTTTTGGAATGTGTCAAGTTTGGCTGTTTTCCTTTTTGGGATTAACACAAGGGGGGGGGAAGAAGAAATGTTTTATGAATCTCTTTCATAGTACTAAAAACCCATGTCATGGTTCTGTCCAATGAAGTGTACTTACTAGAATCTAGGGCCTTCTCTAGCTTATTGTTGTGGATATGTGCCCAGTATACTTAACTTAGTTTGAAGTTTTTTGCAGTTTAAAAGCTGTTTTTGTCACTCATGGTTGTGTTTTGATTGTCAATAGCCACTTGGGTTTTTAAAAAGCAGCTTTCGGGCCTCAAGAAATAAGCTTAACGCATCACTGATCTTAAGCACAAACCATCATTGGTTTGTTTGCATGTAGATTGTTCCAATTTGCTGGCTATGTGTTGTGTCTGTAAAGTGTAGAGTACAAGAGTTGCAAACAGTTTGTAAGGGGTTTTTGTATCCTCTTGTGTTATTTTAAAAGCATCGTCATGGAAAGTTAAATTATAATCAATTTACATCATCATAATTGCAACAGTGCATTCTTCCACAGTACATTTTCCTGTTGATTCAATGCAGATGTATGAATGCATAGAAAATCTGTACTTTTTTGTTACTTACATAGTGTATTATGAAAATATATTCTATATTATGTATATATTATTTATTTTTTAATGTATTTTTTATATTGTATAAATGGGAAAACCAATGGGAAAATTCAGTTGCCACTGTGGTTGGTGGGAAAAAAGTGAATTTCCCACTTGGGTTGCATCCTACAGATGATGTTTGATATCCTGTATATAGAGTTTTGCTTGTTTTACAGTAAGTTCTGACATGGTCTGGATGTAATGGTTTTGTTTCCTGTCTACGTTCCATCAGTACTGCTAGTGTACGGTTACTTGAGAGTGAACCAATTGTAGTCCATAACTAATATGATGGCTGCAGAACTCAATGATTGACTGTTGACTGCTGACGAGATGGCACTATGACATCTCTTGCTATAGTGAATGTGTGGATGGAGTCTATTTATAGCACCGTTTGGAGAGCGACTGATATATGACACCAATGACTTGAAGCTGTTACAGCAGGAAGAGGAAGAAAAAAAGATAAAACTTACATCTCAAGCTGATGCTCAACACATGAGACCAAGACAGAAAGCACATGAAATATAGATCAGAAATGTCTTGGAGAAAGGTGCCCTTCCCCTTACATGGCAGCCCTCTGTTGATTCTACTTTTTTCTCCTTTGTTTTTTGTCAGCATGGATTTTTTTCCTGTAAAATCAGACGAGGTTATGCCTTCCGCAATCTTTTCTGTGCATATATGAGGTTTGCTTTTTTTTCCCTCTCTGCTTCCTTTCTCTCTCTGTGAGTTCTGCATTTCATCTTCCTCCTCGTCTGTGAAGAACAGACGCCACAGCATGGATTAAAAGCTTTTTCCTTCACATCTCTGCTGGACTGCTGTGACACTTTTTCTCCTATGCTGCAATATATCCTGCAAGCAAATACAAACACATATACAGTACATTGAGCTGCATTTTAAAACCCCCAACCCGACTTACAGCTAAATCCAGGAGGCTTCATCGAGACTTTGCTATTAATTGCTGATAGCTTAACCTCCTCTTCATCTGCCCCTTCATCTCCAAGGATCAGTGTAATTAATTAATTGTTTTTTTACTCAAATAGCTTTGCCCCAATCTGTCACTTGTTCATCTGCAGAGTTCAAGCAGGGAGAATGCATTGGGCCCTCAACGCATTTGGATTATGTTAGACAGGAAGTGTAAATCTGATTTCCTTTTCTCTGTCAAGATCACAGAGGACCTGTGACAAATGATGATATAAACTCGCTGTCTCGGTCAAGGCTGCAAATCGCTGCACTCAGCGAAAGCTCCCGAGATACAACTGGAGCTTGTCACTGTCCATTGCGAAGTTTGGTGACAGGATGCAACAAAAAGTCTCAAATCTTTTGTTCTGAGGGTGACTTTAGTGCAGCTTTCAAAAGTAACGAGTGTTTATTCTTGACAGGAATAATATTTTGAACAGGCAACAGAGCATTTCTAGCAGAAGAAACAGAAATGTAAAGATTTAATTCACCCAAAAATGAATTCTGTCAGTTTCATGACTTCATGTTGTTCCAAACCTGTACGACTTAATTTCTTCTGTAGAACACAAATATTTGAAGAATATTTTGAATGGTGAAAGTCAATGGGGTACAGAACAACACTGGACAATGGTGAAATTCATTGTATGGACAAAAACCACTGAGACATTTTTCAAAAATCATAAAATCTGTTTGTTTACGGGACATGCAAGAACTAGTGACTTCAGTGTCAATAATGTTGCCATATTTTATTTGAGTTAAAGTGTTAAAGTTCACCCAAAAATGAAAATTCTGTCATTAATTACTCATTTCGTTCCAAACCCGTACGACCTTCGTTCATCATCGGAACACAAATGAAGATATTTTGAATGAAAGCCGAGAGCTTTCTGGCCCTGTATAGACAGCAACGCAGCTGACACGTTCGATGCCCAGAAAGGTAGTAAGGACATCATCAGAAGCACCACATGTATGCGTCATGGTACTCTCATGAA